AAAAAAAAAAAAAAAAAAAAAAAAAAAAAAAAAAAAAAAAAAAAAAAAAAAAGCGGGGAAGGGAAAAGGGGGGAGAAAAAGAGAGGGGAGGGGAACAAACCAACAGCGATCCAAAGGGGAGGGGGAAAAGAGGAAAGGAGGGAAAAAAGGAGGGAAAAAGGAGGGGAAAAAGGGGGGGGAAGGAGGGGAAAAAGGAGGAAAAAATGAGGGAAAAAGAGAAAAAAAGGAGGAAAAAAGGGGGAAAAAAGAGAAAAAAAGGAGGAAAAAAGAGAAAAAAAGGAGGAAAAAAGGGGGAAAAAGAGAAAAAAGGAGGAAAAAAGGAGGAAAGGAGGAAAAAAGGAAAAAAGGAGGAAAGGAGGAAAAAAGGAGAAAAAAATGAGGGGAAAAAAGGGGGGGGAAAGGAGGAAAAAAAGGAGGAAAAAAGGAGGAAAAAAGAGAAAAAAGGAGGAAAAAAGGAGGAAAGGAGGAAAAACAGGAAGAAAAAAAAGAGAAAAGGAGGAAAAAAGGAGGAAAGGAGGAAAAAAGGAGAAAAGGAGGAACAAAGAAGGAAAGGAGGGAAAAAAGGAGGAAAAAAAGGAGGAAAAGAGGAAAAATGGAGGAAAAAAGGAGGAAAAAAGGAGGAATAACAGGAGGAAAAAAGGAGGAAAAAAGGAGGAAAGAAGGAAAAACAGGAAGAAAAAAAAGAGAAAAGGAGGAAAAAAAGAAGGAAAGGAGAAAAAAAGAAGGAAAGGAGGGTAAAAAGGAGGAAAGGAGGAAAAAAGGAGGAAAAAAGGAGGGAAAAAAAGGAGGAAGAAAGGAGGGAAAAAAGGAGGAAGAAAGGAGGAAAGGAGGAAAAAAGGATGAAAAACAGGAGGGAAAAAGGACGAAAAAAGGAGAAAAGGAGGAAAAAAAGGAGGGTAAAAAAGGAGAGAAAAAAAAAAAAACCCAAAAAGAGAGAGAGAGAAACAGAAAGTGGCTGGTTGGCCATGGCGGAGCGGGAGGGAACACAGATTCGGGCCGAGGCGCGGCACAGGCGAGACACAAAAGTTCTTTTTTTTTTGGCGGAGCGGAAGGCGACAAAAAGCACGGATGAAAAACAGAAAGAGCAGGGGACACAGGTGGCGGATTCCCCTGCGGAGAGCGCCTCAAGGAGAAGCCAAGTCCCAGGGAGGAGGAGGAGGAGCCCGAGGAAGAGAGGAGGAAGGCCCCGGGAGCAGGAGAGCGGCCGGGCGGAGCTGGCAGGGAGCTCAGAATGAGATGGAGGAGTTCCTGGCCCCAAAGGAAGTCAATACGGGGATGGATGTTCTGCCAGCTGCGGGTTTTTCTGAGACCGTGGGGGAGGTCTCACTGGCCTCTTTAGATGGTCTAGTGGCCTGGAAAGAAAAGCAAGATTCAAGGAGGACGAGGAGGAGGAGGAGGAGGAAGGAAGGGGTGGAAAGTTCGAAGAGAAAGAAAAGGGAAAGCTTGAAAAATAAACCAACAACAACAAAAAAATAAAAGGCGAAAGAAAGGAAAGGAAAATAAATGAAATTAAAAAAAATACCAAAAAAAGGACAGAAAAGAACCCCAAAAACAACGGAGAAGCGAAAGGAGCTCGTCGAGAAAGCAGCACTGAGTCAGGCCTGAGGTCAAGCAGCTGGAAAAGGGCCACCACCACAAAGAGCAGCCACAAGAGCGGGTCCCACGCGTCACTGACACGGGCAGGGGACGTCCCCGAGGCGTGAGGACGGACGGACGGACGGACGGACACACAGCCACGCACAGCCGGGGGTGGGGGAGGACACGGGGTGGGGGGGAAAGGCAGAGGGGGGACAAGAAGTGGCAGCGTTAGAGCGGGCACGGCCCCCGGCAGCACCCAAGGGTGCCCGCCGTGTCCCCGTCCCCCAGATAAATCCCACACGGGGGACAAAAGTGACACGGAAAAGTCGCTGCTGCGGCCCAGGGGAGGGGACTTGGTGGCCTGATGGGGTCATGGGGATGCTTCCTGCTCCCTCAGGTTTGTCCGGTCCAGGGGGAATCCAGAGGGAATTCCCTCCCTCTTCCTGGTTCTATGGGGTGGGACAACGTCACAGCCTAGAGGGACACCTTGAAAAACCTCAAAAATCCCTCAAAAAACCTCAACAAACCACAAAAAACCCTCAGCAAACCTCAAAAAAACTCAAAAAAACCAGAGGGACGCCCCAACCTTGAAAAACCTCAACAAACCCTCAAAAAACTGTCAAAAAACCCTCAAAAACCTCAAAAAACCCCCCAAAAACCCCAACAAACCTCAAAAAAACCTCAAAAAAACCAGAGGGATGCTCCAACCTTGAAAAGCCTCAAAAAACCCTCAGAAAACCTCAACAAACCTCAGCAAACCTTCAACAAACCTCAAAAAACCTCAAAAAAAACCCAAGGGGGACGCTCCAAACTTGAAAAACTCAAAAAACCCTCAAAAAAACCCCAACAAACCTCAAAAAACCTCAAAAAAACCAGAGGGATGCTCCAAACTTGAAAAACTCAAAAAACCCTCAAAAAAACCTCAACAAACCTCAAAAAACCCTCAACAAACCTCAAAAAAACCTCAACAAACCTCAATAAAAAACCTCAAAAACCTCAAAAAAATCCCTCAAAAAAACCCCAAAACCCTCAAAAAAACCCTCAAAAAACCCTCAACAAACCTCAAAAAAACCCCAAAGAACCCCAACAAACCTCAAAAAACCCCACAAAAAACCCCAAAAAACCTCCAAAAACCCTCAAAAAAAAAAACCAACCCTCAAGAAACCCTCAACAAACCTCAAAAAAACCCCAAAGAACCTCAAGAAGCCTCAAAAAAAAAAATCCCACAAAAAACCCCTCAAAAAACCCTCAACAAACCTCAATAAAAAACCTCAAAAAACCCCTCAAAAAACCCTCAAACAACCCCCAAAGAACCTCAACAAAACTCAAAAAAAAACCTCAAAAAAACCCTCAAAAACCCCTCAACAAACCTCAACAAACCTCAATAAAATCCCTCAAAAAAACCTCAAAAAAACCCTCAAAAAACCCTCAAAAAAACCCTCAAAAAACCTCAAAAAATCTCAAAAGAATACCTCAAAAAACTTCAAGAAACCTCAAAAAAACTTCAAAAACACCTTCAACAAATCTCAAAACACCGCCTCCCTGGGGAGGTTTTTTCACCGAGAGGGGGTTTGACCCTTTTTGCCCATTTTGCTCCTTCCACATTTTTTCCCCTCGGAACCGCGCCGCGAGGAGCCGGGAAAATGCGCGGAATTGGGTTTATTTCCCGTTTTTTTGGGGGGCGGGGAAGGGATGGAGGCGCAGCGCGGGGGCAGAGGAGGGGTGGGGGCGAACCCACCCAGCGAGGGGGAAAAATGGGGTGCAGGGACGTGGGGGGACGGGGACAGCAGGGAGGGACAAAAGCCACCCCAAGTGTCCGTGATCCCCAGGCCAGCTGGGAATGCGCGGGCAGCGCTGGGGTGACAGCAGGGACAGAGTGGGGGGAACCCCGAAATTGCCCCCCGAGGTGGGGAGGGGGTCAGTGCTGGCTGCTGGGGGGGTTTGGGGTGCTCCATGCCACCCCCAAAACGCTTCTCTTCCAGCTGCTGTGGCCCGCTGGCGCTGTCACCGCAGTGTCACCACAGTGTCACCACGGTGTCACCACAGTGTCACCACAGTGTCACCACGGTGTCACCACCCCGCCTGGGACACCCACGAGCGCACCCACGCCCACTGTGGGTGCACAGAGCGGGAGGGGAGGGGGTCTGGGCTCCCCAAAACCTCCCCCAGCAGGGAATTCTCATCCTGCGGCTTCAACAGCACGGCCAAGGAGGTGGCATTGTCCCCCTGGGGTGACACGGCCACCCGCTCAGGGTGGCACCCAGCGTTTGGCGACCAACGTGGAGTTTGTGACTTTGTGACTTTGTGACTTTGCGACTTTGCGACTTTGTGACTTTGTGACTCTGCCCTGTCTGTGCCCCTGTCGCCAGCCCCCGGGGCGGGCACAGAGAGTGACAAGAGCCACCCCCGCAGTGCCACCACCGCGTCCCTCTGTCCCCAACCCCAAAGCCGAGAAGGTCCCAAAAATAAAAAGGGAGAGAACGCGATCCCAAAACTCATCACCCCGTGGGTGTCCCCGGCTCGGGCTGTGCGGGCAGCCTTGGGGGGGGGGTGGGCAGCCTTGGTGGGGCGGTGGGCAGCGCTGGGGGCGGTGGGCAGCCTTGGTGGGGCGGTGGGCAGATTTGGGGGTGGTGGGCAGCACTGGGGGCAGTGGGCTGCCCTGGAGGTTTTGGACAGCCCTGGTGGGGCAGTGGGCTGCCCTGGGGGTGGTGGGCAGCGCTGGAGGGGTAGTGGGCAGCCCTGGGAGCGGTGGGCAGCCCTGGAAGGGTGGTGGGCAAACCTGGTGGGGTGGTGGGCAGCCTTGGGGGCGGTGGGCAGCCCTGGAGGTTTTGGACAGCCCTGGAGGGGTAGTGGGCAGCCTTGGGGGCAGTGGGCAGCCCTGGAGGGGTGGTGGGCAGCCCTGGAGGGGTGGTGGGCAGCCCTGGAGGGGTGGTGGGCAGCCCTGGGGGCAGTGGGCAGTGCTGGTGGGGCGGTGGGCAGCCCTGGGGGTTTTGGACAGCCCTGGTGGCAGTGGGCAGTTCTGGGGGTGGTGGGCAGCCCTGGAGGGGTGGTGGGCAAACCTGGTGGGGTGGTGGGCAAACCTGGTGGGGCGGTGGGCAGTGCTGGTGGGGTAGTGGGCAGCCCTGGGGATTTTGGACAGCCCTGGTGGGGCAGTGGGCTGCCCTGGGGGTGGTGGGCAGTGCTGGAGGGGTGGTGGGCAGTTCTGCGGGTGGTGGGCAGCCCTGAGGGCGGTGGGCAGCCCTGGGGGTTTTGGACAGCCCTGGTAGCAGTGGGCAGTGCTGGGGGCGGTGGGCAGCCCTGGAGGGGTGGTGGGCAGCCCTGGGGATTTTGGACAGCCCTGGAGGGGTGGTGGGCAGCGCTGGGGGCAGTGGGCTGCTCTGGGGGCGGTGGGCAGCCCTGGAGGGGCGGTGGGCAGCCTTGGGGGCGGTGGGCAGCGCTGGGGGCGGTGGGCAGCACTCGGGGGGTCTCTGGGGGTGCAGTACCTGCTGCTGGCCCTGGATCCGCATGTATTCCATGCGCTGCTTGATGTGCTTGCCCTTGTCGGGGCTGCCCTGCTGGCCCTGCTTCAGCCGCGACGCCGGGTTCACCACCTTCATCGCCGGGATGGAGACGCCGCCGCTCTGCCGGGACAAAACCCAGACGGGGGGAAAGGGTTAGAATTGGTTGGCGGAGCCCTGGATGGATGGAGATGTGCCACCACCCTTTGCCGGGCACAGCCCGTGGGGACGATGCCAGGTCAGGAGCGAGGTCACCGGCTCGGCCGTGAAGCTCCGAACCCCACCGGGACTTACCGGGAGGCAACCGGGAGGGATTTTAGGGCGCGCACGGCACACACCGGGACACCGAGGGACAGCCAAGAGAGAGGGGAAAGAGGCGGCGGCAGGCGGAAGCAGAATTCCAGGTGGGAACGGCGGCAGTGGGAATACAGAGGAGTTTATTCACTGTGCACAGGATCCACAGGCGGCAGCGCCACACACACACACTCACCCCGTGCGTCCCCTCCCGTGCCCAGGTCCCCTCCCGGTGTCCTCCTGCCCTGTCCTGTCGCAGCCCAAATTTGGGATGGCTCAGGTGAAGCCCTGGGATCCTCAGTGGTCCCCACAGGTGGGACACGGGGGATTCCCGCACCCCGCAGCGCGAGGGAATCATCAAAGGATGGAAAATCCTCAGCTGGGAGGGAGCCGCGAGCATCAGCCGAGCCCAAATCCCAGCCCTGGAGAACCCCACAAGTGTCTGTGCCGCACCATCCGCAGCATTCCCAGCCTTGGGAATCTTCCCAAGCAGCTCAAAATCCTTGGAATGCGACACCAGCCCCGCCCTGCCCTGCTCTGCTTTAGGATTGACCCATCACAGCTCCTCCCGCCTAACCCTGAGCCTGGCTTCGCTCAGCCCCGGCCATAAATCCATCCCGCAGCTCCACTTCCCCTTTCCCGGGGGAAAAAAAACGGGAAAAATTGCAGCCACACCCCCGTTCACCCAGCGAGAGCCCGCAGAGGACGGCTCCAAGTGGAAAAAGAGATTTTCTTTTTTTCCCCAGCGCTGACTGTTAATAAAGGAGCAGGTTGTCATCGCGGCAGAGCTCAGGGCATTTTTTCCCTCCTTCCCTGGTTTTTTTTTCCCAGATATTCAGCTGGATTCCAGCAGAAAGCAATTTGGGATGGCTTCAGGGAGCTCGTGCTGTGGTTTAATGAGGAGAAACATCTGCCAGGCTCCGGCTGCTGCTCCTTAGGAGAGGGATTTTATGGGAAATGGTGAAACCGGGAGCGGTGCTTCGGCACCGAGCCCTGCCTGACCCAGGGGGATGCTCGAGGATCCTGTGGGATGCTCCTGGATCCCGTGGGATGCTCCTGGATCCCGTGGGATGCTCCTGGACGCCCTGGGATGCTCTTGGACCCCATGAGGTGTTCCTGGACCCTGTGGGATGCTCTTGGATCCTGTGGGATGTTCCTGGACTATGTGGGATGATCCTGGACCACCTGGGATGCTCTTGGATCCCATGGGATGCTCCTGGAACCTGTGGGATATTCGTGGACCCCGTGAGCTGCTCTTGGACTTCATGGGATGCTTTTGGACCCCATGGGATGCTCCTGGAACCTGTGGGATATTCGTGGACCCCGTGAGCTGCTCTTGGACTTCATGGGATGCACTTGGACCCCATGGGATGCTTTTGGATCCCATGGGATGCTCCTGGAACCTGTGGGATTTTTGTGGACCCCATGGGATGCTCCTGGATCCCGTGGGCTGCTCTTGGACCCCATAGGATGTTTGCTGACCCTGTGGGACGCTTTTGGATCCCGTGGGATGCCCATCCTGGACCTGGTCCTTCAAAATCCTGCCAGGGCAGAAGAATCCCCCTCATCCAGGGTGTAACTCCAGGATGGGATCATCCAGCACCACCCGGCACCTTCTCCCTTCCAGCTCATCCCTCGCTCACTCCTGCCCTTCCCAGAGCCCTCCAAGAGTCAGGAGGAAGAGGAAGATTCACTCTCCACCCCAGCTCTGCCTGGAGGAGGAGTCACAGAGAGGGAGCAGGCGGAGGAAGAGACACCAGAGTGAATCCAGGGCAGAGCAGGGCACGGGGGAGAAGAGAAAATGAACCTGGCGAGTGCCGGGGGGCAGCTGCGGCTTGGGGAGCAGCGCTGGCTTGGTCCTGCTCGCAAAGGGACTCTTGGCAGCACCATCCTTGGCCCGGCTGAGGTCCAGCGCGGTGTCACCGTCGCAGCCTCCGTGCCCGAGGTCCCTCGGGCTCTTCCCGGCCTCCTCGGATCCCAGCGCGCCCTTGGGGAACGCCAATTCCACGGCGGGGTGGCTGCTGATCTCGCTGATGGTCATTTCCAGCTCGCGGATGGTTTCCTCCAGGCTGTCCAGTCTCTGGTAGGTGTCCTCACAAATCTCCGTTTTGCCCGCGGTCGTGGGGGACAAGCGGCCTCTGCAGAGCCCCTCCGCCGTTCCGGGGTCACCCCCAGCATCTGGAGCTCCTCCATCCCATCCTGGAGCTGCCGTGGCGTGGCTGGAGCGGGCAGGGATCTGCTCCAGCAGCTGCTGTTCCACCCGGGAATGTCCCGCTGCCCACGGGGCTGCGTCTCTGCCCGCAGAACCCCCGGGATGTGCCCCAGGGTGGGTTGGTGGCTCTCGACCCGGGGCTGGTGGGTTCTCCTCCCTCCACGCGGCTTTGGGAACCCCAGACGAGCATCTAGAACCGAGCCTGGCTCCTCTTTGGGAGTCCCCATCGCCGTCGGGAATGTGGGGGATGATCCCGGCACGGATGGAAGGGAGCGCGGCCTCTGCGGCTCCGGCACCTTCCCCGCGGCTCCGAGGAGGCCACGCAGCCGCGGGACTTTGGGGACAAATCTTTGGGGACAAATCGCTGCCTCCTGGCCTGCTGGCAGCGTCCAGACCCGCGTCCCCTCCTCGTCCCCCCGTTTTATCCCCCGGGGATGCCGAAGGGAACGCCCGGGATGTGCTGCCGGGGGAGCGCGGCGCTGGAGGGGGTTCCTGTGCCAGCGGGGATTTTGGGGAGCTGCCAGGAGCCCCCACACGGCCTCTCCTTGTCCCCTCGGGTGGCAGCTGCCCTCCTGCTGCTGCGCTGCCCGGTGCCACCCACAGCTCCGGCTCGGCTTCGGGGGACGGCGGCTCCGACCCGCACTCGGTGAGCACGATCTGGGGCAGGGAGAAGGCCCGGCTGGCCGGGGCTGCCAGCGGCTCCTAGGCAGAGAATTCAGACAGATTAGGGGCCAGCAGGCAGCGGGGTTTGCCCGGGAGGCGCCACGGGGCGCCAGAAATTATTGGGGTCCCCCCACGCCGGTGCTTGTGGGCACGGCAGAGTTCCAGGCGGGAGTTTGGGAAGGGAGGGGGGCTCAGATCCATCCTGCCCGTCCCATACAGCCCAGCGGGATTCATGGCGTGGGCAGGGGATGGAGAGGGTGGATCAGCTCCCTCCTCCGGCCCTGACATCCCACAGGGATCCAGAGCAGGGACAGGGACTGGACAGGGAAGTTCAATTCCCACAGGGATCCAGAGCATGGACAGGGAATGGACAGGGATGTTCAATTCCCTCTTTTCCAGCTCTGACATTCCACAGGGATCCAGAACATGGACAGGGAATGGACAGGGATGTTCAATTCCCACTGGGATCCAGAGCATGGACAGGGAATGGACAGGGATGTTCAATTCCCTCTTTTCCAGCCCTGACATTCCACAGGGATCCAGAGCATGGACAGGGAATGGACAGGGATGTTCAATTCCCTCTTTTCCAGC